GAAAAAAATGAACCATTTTAACTAACTTTAACCATGATAATCTTAACAGGATTTTGTCACTTTGATTATCTCTACAGATTTTTGAATTCTGGTATGTTATACCATTTTGGTCATAGGGATTACATACCTGTCAGGCCTAGCCCAAAACAACAATTAAACAATCCAGTCAACTATAGTTCCTTTATTTGCTTACACCTTATAGACAGAATCTTGCCAAACTAAATCTATACTACAGCATCTAGTGGATATACCCTGGGAGATTCTAGGGAGTGGCAACCCTGAATCTCTTACTCTTCCCACGCTCCCCCTGCGGACTATGTTGTCTTTTGTCTCCTTTCCCCTGCTGGAATGCAACCCCTCCTTCTTGATAGCCTTGATCTCCCACATCACTCTCCTCCTCATAGATATATTCCATCACAATATTGCCACAGGCAATTCTGACCCTTTTTAGTCAAGTAGTATCTGCCATACTGTGTCTTTTTCTAATACACAGTATTTTGATTTCAACAAATAGTATTAGAGATGTAATTTATCATGTAGCTGATTAAGAAAGGATGAGTTTGTATGGAGGTGAACCTGAGTGTGACTTCCAGAAGGCATCTATTGTAAATATGTGGGCTGGTTGTACATTTTTACAGTAATACAACAAAGCTATGAGATACTGATTTTTATATTTTCTAATGCCTTTGAACACTATTGCAATAATGTATCCACCATATTTTGTATGCTATTTTTACAAGAGGAGGAGGAAGGCCAGTCTGTTGTTATAGGAACTAAACATTATATTCTGGATGCAAGAGACAATTTTTGGGACGTACACAGTATCCACAGTAATTGGCTGGGGTATCATACCATTGTTGCTACTGGGGCCAGGAAGTTATGCAAGCTCTGCTATTGATGTGGTTTTATGATTGGGATGTATTGTTTACCTTGGGTATCATGGGTTATTGTTTGTGGCTGTTGGTTTTAATCTTTGTCACTGGGCAGCCATATAAATAAATACATTACTGAATAGTTGTCTGCATGTAATTACATGAGTGACCTGTGATCATCCTTCATGTGTATTCCCCAGTGGTGCCCATACCTGCTGCAATAACAAAAAACAATATGCGATTTTTCTGTTGGTATGGAAAATATTTCTTTTATTTTAATGAGCATGAAGAGGGTACCTAAAGATTTCTCAGAAGAAGAGATACTTGAGAATACTAAAAGCATGATGCTAGATAGACCAGAGTTATGGAGGAAAACTTCAGTTAATAGGAGGTGGGGACAATCACAGAATGCCAGTAATGAAGATGAGAAGTACCACAATTTATTTCAACACTTACTGAAGACTTATCACTTCAGTCAGGCATTCCCTGAATCTTTTTGTTATATTTTTTTCCTACTACCAGCTTTTTAAATAAATGTTTTATATAGTGTTATAATTATTCTTTTTATCATTATATTTTAATACATTTTTGTGTTAGTAGATGGTACAGAAATATATTCAGTAAATAATAAAATAATTGATTGATTGATTGATCATGTCCCATCAAGTCGAATCTATCTACTCTTAACAACCACATAGATAGTTTTCTCCATGAGGATCTATCCCCAACCTTCTCCTTCAGGTCTTTCAAAGAAGTACCTGTCATCGCTGTAATTGAACCCATCCACCTTGCTGCTGGTTGTCCTTTTCTCTTTCATTCTACTTTTCTCAGCATTATAAACTTCTCCAGAAAGCTAGATCTTCGCATAAAATATGTGCAAAGTATAATAATTTGAGCTTGATCATTTATGCCTTGAATGAGAACTCTAGATTGATTTGTTTGATAATCCATTTGTTTGTTATCTTGGCTATCCATGGTATACTCAGGAGCCTTCTCCAACACCAAAGTTCAAAAGGGTCAATACTCTTCCTATCCTGCTTCTTCAAAGTCCAATTTTTGCTTCCATAGATTGTCACAGGAAAAACCATTGCTTGCACCACTCTTTGTGTGTAAGATACATCATAGCATCTGAATATCTTTTCCAAGACCTTATTTGATATTCTACCAAGTGCTACTCTGTGGTATGTTTCCTGACTGCTGATTCTTTTACTGTTGACAATTCTAAAAGGCAGAAAGTATCTACCACTTCAGCATCATCATTGTCAGTTTTAAGTCTGGTTGCTGTTGTTAGTTTGATCTTTATATTTAATCTTAGTTGCATTTTTTCACTGTGCTCCTTGACTTTCATTACTAGAGCTTGGAGATAATTTGCATTTTCAGCTATCAGAATGATGTCATCAGCATAGCTCAGGTTATTGATGTTTCTTCCTCCAGTTTTAAACCACATTCATCTTCTTCCAACCAGCTTCTCTCAGCACATATTCAGCATATGGATTGAATAAATATGGGGAGAGTATACAGCCTTGTCTCACTCTTTTGCTGATCAGGAGCCATTCTGTTTCACCATGTTCTGTCCAGATTGTGACTTCCTGACCTTTGTATAAGTTTTACATGAGGGCAATGAGATGCTTTGGGATTCCCATTTTTCTAAGCACATTCCACAGCTTGACATGATCAACACAATCAAGGGCCTTTCTGTAATCAGTGAACTACATATTTGGTATTCTTTGGCTTTCTCACTTATTCAGTGTGCATCAGCAATAATGTCTCATATTCCTCGGCCTTTTCTAAAATCAATTTTAACACCTGGCATCCCCCTTTCCATGCGGGGCTCTAATCTGCATTGGATGATTGTAAGCATTATTTTCTTAGTTTATGAAATAAAATGATGTTTTATGCCTAAGGAACAGAAACTCTGCCCTTGTGGTGGGGGGAAATTAAAATTTTCGGTCATGTATTACTCTGCTGTCTCTTTCATGGAGACCTCTGAAATATGTATATTTTCCCATTCATAACACCAAGAGGTGGGGATTTCAGACAGTGTAGCCTGGTTCTGTATCCAGGCTATGATTGAACACAGTCAATTCCTCCAATTAAAGTGATGCTGAGCCCTGTCTAGATTACTGTAACTCAATATATTCCTTCCTTTCCTTTCCTTTCCTTTCCTTTCCTTTCCTTTCCTTTCCTTTCCTTTCCTTAAATAAACACCTGTCACTCCAGTCTCACTATCTCACTGTTATCTTGCTTCTAGTTGTTTGGATTATAACTACAATAATCCCAATTAAATCCTAGTATGGCTACAGCAAGTACTAGGCTCATAAATCAGGATAGTTTTAAATGGTTGTTATGTCTTCTTAGTATTTCTTATGTATTTATAATTATTTATCTTAACTACTTACAGCAGTTCAACTATAAATAATAATTTTATAGGGTTTTCCCCTGATTTCATACTTTATATTTTCAACTCCATGCTAATACATTTTCTTCACTTTATTTTATTAACATACTATTCTACTTCTACTTTTATTTTGGAATAATTGTTATGTTGTTTGTTTTATGTTGCTCTATGACCAAAAAAGTAGCAAACAATAAAGATATACCCTTTTACAACATAGAAAAAAATGTGCATTTTTTCCCTTACACATAATCCACAATATGATAGAAGGCCTCAGCTTAGTAAGTACTGACTTTGTAGTACATGCTATAGTAGTGCATACTAATACATATATGAATACCAGTCTCATTGAAAAAAGATTTGCTTAAATAGTGGTTAGTAAATTGCTGATAAAATGAAAGCAAAAGGGTTTGGTAAAATGAAAGTAAAAAATGGATCATCTTTCAAATTTCTAGTGTCTCAGTTGCTTGAAAGCAACTATTTTACCTAGGAAAACTGAATCATTTGTAAATTAAATGCAGTAAGTTTTTAAAAAAGCATGTTTCATGGTGTATCTCTGAGGATCAAAATGTGCATCCTCATTATACTGATTTGACTTCAAAAGTTCATGTATTCTCAACAGTACAAAGATAGGAAATACCTAGATGTAAATATATATGTGCTGCATTTGTTTTTTCTGGATATTTATTGGATGGGGAGAAAGATGGTTTACATTGTAGATTTAGCCATTGCTTGTCAGACTTCTTCAGTGTTGCAAAATTTTAAAGGCTTGGCTTGGCTTGGCTTGGCTTGGCTTGGCTTGGCTTGGCTTGGCTTGGCTTGGCTTGGCTTGGCTTGGCTTGGCTTGGC